AACAGCGGGTTTCTATACCCGTGATGGCACAGATTTATTGTAATTAAGCACAAAGCTACACAATGGGCTATCTGTGCTCTGCCCACCACGGACATTGTAAGTCCGCAGACATACCGCTGTGCCACTGGGGGGGGGGGGCTGATGGGCACAGCACAGATAACCTACTGTGTAGCTTTGTGCTTAACCTCACACAAAAAAAAAACTGAGACAACTTAAAGCAAGAATATATTTATAGAGAATACTTCATCGAAGTCGCGTGCTCAGTACTGAACCAAACAGTGTTGGTTTATTCTCTAATTATCGTTACTCTATTCGAGAAATATCATCAGCAATATAGGACTAATCAGAATGGAACGCGAAGTCCAGATTTTTAAAAAATGTACTTATCCATTTGAAAATGCACAAAATACAAATTGTCGGGATTAAGCTAATCTGGACATCTGGGTCTATATTACAATTAAATACAGTGGAAAAAGGTAAAATATTATATGTCGTTGCTGCTGAGCGACCAGAGGAGAACAGTTTGGAGTATAATTTGATTCATCGTTTTGGAGAAATATACCGCATAACACCACATTTCCCATTAGTGGTAATAACACATCATATGGTTTCTGTAAAGGTGTAATAAACAGTTTTTATTTGCATCATTTGTCTTTATATATATATATATAAAACTAACAATTTTGTATTTAATTTTCAGACGATCCCTACTACTGTGGTCTACGAGCCAGGGTACCAAATTACTCTAAGAAAGGGGCGGAATATATGAAAAAAACCCACAGTTCTAGTTACTTGAGTCTCCTACGATCCCTTGACAGATCCCCTTACCACACCAGCTTAGGTGAATATTTTTATTTTATTTTTTATTTGGCAACATTTAAACTAGACTGAATAAGATGCACGCGGTCCATAACTGTTAATGTTTTATTAAGCTATAACCTCAGCACGTGTTTCATACAGTTACACATCACTCAGCCACGTATAGATAATTAGCAACTGAAGATCTATTTAATGTTTTGCGGGGGTTTAAAAACATGTTGTTTGAATGATTTGTAAATGGTAAAACAGTGGCTTATTGTCACAGATGCGAGCGATAAGGCCGACATGTTTAAAACCTATATACTTGGCTCACAACAGGGTGATCATAGACTCTCAGGTTTACACCGAGTGGGCCCGGTATGGTCAGGTGGTTAGGACGTTTGACTCGCAATCTGAAGGTTGCAGATTCGAATCCCCGTTCCACCAAACATGCTCGCCCTTTCAGCCGTGGGGGCGTTATAATGTGACGGTCATTCCCAATATTCGTTGGTAAAAGAGAAGCTCAAAAGTTGGCGGTGAGTGGTGTTGACTATCTTCCTTCTCTCTAATCTATCACTGCTACATTAAGGACGACTAACACAGATAGCCCTCGAGAACCTTGCGCGAAATTCAAATAACAAAGAAATTAAACCTTCCAATCTGCTTAAATAAACCAACCAATCACACCGATTTTCTGTCCATGCAACAGTGCAACGCCACCAAAGACACTTATGGCTGGATGGTTATGTCACATCATCCTTTATAGTGCAATTTAATCTCAGTAAAAGTGTTCCTCTTGTTCTGCAAATCATAATTAATTTTAAATGACATAATATTGTATATAACAGTGCTTAGCATAGTTTGCACTCAACATTTAAGTACTAATTAACCAAGACAGCGTGTTGGTTGGCAAGGTTGTTGTTAGGCTTAAGGAAAAATAACCATGTTAAACAATAAACTCTGAATTGCTAGTAAAGTTACAGTATTTTAAAACACGTGAAATGGAGTTACACGTGACAGTTAGTTTGTGCCTTTTAAACTCTCCTGTAGAGCAAGTTAACAGAAGAAAGATGCAAAAAGAGGAACATAAATATACAAAACAAACATGACTTTTATAATGGAAGTATCTGAACATTCAACATGATGTTTTAAGCTCGTGTTTACAGGATATCATTCACTCATCTAAACTATAGCTCTTTAGCTAAATGTGTTAAACGTTGACGTATTTTACCGAAAGCGGAAATTTCGGTGATATTTTTGTGGGAAACAAATAAGCACTGAACATATCTAAAAATTGTAATATCATTCCTTCTTCTTGAGTAGAGAATGAACGCTTTGAACTGCAGCGAATTGAACCGTGTCGTAAGAACACACGATACTCCTCGATTTAATGCACTATAAATCGCACATTTTTCTTTTCTAAAGTTACTAATGATTTAAATCACTTTTTTTTCTATTTCCATAAATATAAATTCGTCATTGAGCGATAATGTTTCTTGTTTTTTTACCGTATATGTACACGTCTCGGAGCCACGTAATTATAAAATTAAATCGCTGAGGCTCAGTAATAGTTGGTTACTGCACGTGACATGAACGTGTATCTTGGACGGGTAATTTTGGGTGTATAGTTGTGCGTGCATGAAGAGATATTAAGAACGTTTACGTTCAGTTAGTTATTATAAAGTACATTTCGTATATTTTATTGAAAACACGTGATTTGTTTTTTCAACGTTGAATTATGATAGAACTTTCGGCTCAAATTACGTAAATAAATTAAATTAGAGATACAGAGACAACAGAAAGATGGTATGAGTATTATTAGTGTCAGATTTTAGAAATAATATATATAAGTTATTCTTTTTGCCAATTGTCGAAATAAATGGCTTTTACTTATATTTCTTAATAATATAAATATGTACTATGTCGTTGTTAGGCTTAGGATTCTTCTACAGTAGGTGTTTGTGACTTGTTGACG